AACAAGACTCCCCTCCTAGGATCCTTGATAGAAGAACTGATACTGTTGAAATTTCCCATTGGAAAGGCTGGGTTTGGAAGGGTTTCCAGTAGTGGAGAAGAGGGAGTGGGATTTATGTACCAGGTCCTTTATAAGCCACTTCCACCTCTGTTATTTCATCTAATCCTCAGAACAATCTCATGAAGCAGATGTTTTTATAACCAGTTTTACAAATGAAGGATTTGAAGCTTGATCAAGTTAAACAAGTGTCCAAGATCACATGGTTAGTAAATGGTAACTCTGGGGATTAGTATTATGATTATTAACTTTACTACCATCCAGGTTGTCTGCTCCCAAAGATCATGTTCTCGCTCTTACACAACTTGACTACATACACTAGATACTACATGCTTAGTATCTTCTTCTAGAAGCCAGTCTCACAATAGGGGTTCCTCTAAGAGATATCACAGAAAAAAGGAAAAAAAAAATTAACATCGCAGAGCTCTTGCTATGTTACTTTATCTCATTTATTTTTGTATATCAACTGATATGATGTTGTGATCTTCCTTTTTTTTTATCCTATCAATCTGGAATATTGAACACTGAACACTGAACTAGCCGTCAAGTCAATTCCAACTCATGGCAACCCCATATGTATTAGAATAGGATTGTAGCATAGTGCCTAAGGCACTTGACTGCTAACCAGAAGGCTGGTGGTTCAAACCCACCAGCCACTCCTCAGAAGGAAGGTTGGGCAATCTACTTCTGAAGTGATACTGCCTCGGCAACCCAAGGAGGAGTTGCTATGAGTTGGGGCTGACTCGACAGCACATAACAACAACAATTTATGGAAAGGAGCTCTGATGGCTCAGTGCCTAAAGTATTTGACTGCTAACTGGAAGGTTGGTGGTTCATACCCACCAGATGCTCCTTGGAAGGAAGATGGGGCAATCTACTTCTGTAAAAGTTTACAGCCTCAGAAACCCAATGGGGGTTGCTGTGAGTTGGAATACACTCAATGGCAGTGAGTTTTTTTTTGGTTTATCTTATGGAAGTAGATCACCTCTGTAACAATGCTGAGTGCATTTGAACCAGGCTCCGCCCCCAGGATCTACCAACCTTTCAGTTAATAACCCAATCTAAACAATTTGGACTACCCAGGGACCATTCATTTACTTTAGTGAGAGGAAGGGCGTGGCCTTGGCTGAACACCTGACCCACTGCTTCCCACCAGGCTAAGTTTGCTTCCCTTACTGAACCAATTGGAAATGTCTTTCAAGACTTGCTTTATATTACCTTTCCCTTTATTCAAATTAATACATGACTCTTAAGTAGTTGGTGATTTTCCTTCCCCTCCCATTTCTGGTAACCATCAAAGAATATTTCTTTGCATGTGTAAACCTTTTCTTGACATTTTATATAAGAGTAGAGGAATTGGGAAGAGTGCTGTTACATTGTGGGAACTGCATTTAATGTCATGAAACAAAACGTGTAGAAACAGTTGAATGGAAAACCAATTTGCATTGTAAACTTTCACTTAAAATAAAAAGTTAAATGGAATAAATGAGAAGAATATTAACTAAAAACAGAAAAGGCTTGCTTTAGGGTAGCCTGCACTATTCCAGGGGCACAAATTTGAAGAAATCTGACTTGACATTGAGGAGTATCCTCAGAAGTTTGTGGATATGGCTAGACAGTATTATTTTTTTATTTACAGAGGAGACTAGAACTATTTGTTCAGAAACCAGAGCAGAGCTAGAATCAAAGTGGTTGTCTCAGAGAGAAATCACGAATAAGAAAGGAAAGAAGCTTAGATTCAGAATCCCAGGATACAGTTCAGGCAATGATAACAGGTATCTGTGGGCAGACACCCACAGCACAGAAACTCTTCAGAAATACCCCCGAGGGACTATTAGTGTATCTTGAGCAGGCTTTTCTTAATACCTTACATGCATCCAAATAGATTGGAATATTCCATTTTCTTAAAGAAAGTGATAATTATCTCTGGTGTAACTTGCAAATTTAATCAACTTGGTAAAATATTAACTTGGTATCAAGGATGGATTTGGGCTGATCCTGGAACTGCCCTCCCGGGTTTGACTGTGACCACTCTCCAAGCCTCTGGGAGAAGTCATTAAACAATAATGTTAGTAGTGTTATTTCTATAAAAATAGTTTTTGCTTCTTTATCACTTCTTTTAATTCACAAAGCATGGTAATATATATTATCACCAATCTCACAATCACTTTGTGAAGGAGTAGGATCCAGCACAATTATCCCCATTTTGCTGATGTTAAAAAAGAAGCTTTGGAGAATTAACTCACTTGCTGTATTAGTTTCCAAACTAACACAATCTTGGTGAGTTAAAATAACAGAAATTTATTCTTTTATAGTTCCGGAGACCAAAAATCCCAAATCAAGCTGTCAGCAGGGCCACACTGACTCCAAAGTCCCTGCGGAAAAATCTTCCCTTGGTTCTTCTAGCTTCTGGTGATTCCAGGTCACAGCCTTGGTCTGTAGCTGCCTCTGCCTTGGTCTTTATATGGCCCTTTTTCCTGTGTCCCTATGTCTCTTATTTCCCTCTCCTTCCTCTTATAAGGACACCAGGCATTGAATTTAGGCTAGATTTTAGGGTTCACTCTAACTCCAGGATGATCTTATCCCAAGATCCTTAATTGCACCTGCAAAGACCCTATTTCTAAATAAGGTCTCATCCACAGGTATGAGGGGTTAGGACTGGGACATGTGATTTTTGAGGACCACCATTCAACTCACCACATTTGCCCAAGGTGTCACAGCTAGCTCAACTCAGATTTGTCATTCATGTACTTTTTCTACCACATTGTTGTTATTAGGTGCCATTGAGTTGGTTAAGACTCATAGTGACCCTCTGTACGACAGAAGGAAACACTGCCTGGTCCTGCACCATCTTTTCTACCGTGGACTGTGGTTATCTCAGGAAGGCCTGTGTGGATTCTCAGCCCTCAGGGCATCCTTTACCTGCAAGTCAGGCTACCTTTGCTCTCTAGGTCTCTTCCTTTCCCATCTCCTGGTCCCAGAATTGCCACTGGCAGGGCCAATGCTGGGGAGGAGAGAAGAAAACAAGCAGAATGATGACTAGAGGGAAATCAATGTTTCCTAAACACCCAGTCCTGGTCTTGGCCAATCTGCAAAGTGCCTGTGTGCACATGCCACATGGGCTGAGTTAATCCATAGAAAGCCCCCAGGGTTCAGTAATTAGGCCCTAGGCCATCTTGGGGCCAGGGCTGGATGTTGGTAAACTGCCCTGAAGAAGCTGCTGCTGTATTGTTCATGGGCTGCCTGCATTATTGATGGTGCAGGGGAAGTGTGCTTTAGGCTCCACAAATCTGCCCCTTTACCATAGACCTGATTTGATGGAAGGAGGGATGCAGAAAGGACAGCACCATTTAGAACCAGGAATTTCCCCTCTTTGCATCTTGTCCATCTCGCCTTTCTTGCCAGGATATGAAGATGAGTGTGGATTTGCTCAGTAGAATACTCAGACTCCCACTGTTGGAAGAATGAGAATGCTTTCTGCTTTGTGTGTTTTTAGTTCTCTCAGTGGAAAGTCTAGAAAAATGAGAGACAGGTTTTTTATAGCAGTTTCCAGAAGACCCTGGATCTGGTGGGACCAACTCTCCACATGTATCCCTTGATCAGGTTTTGTAATCAGGACCCTGGAGGAAAAGAACAAAGGATGGAAGGATGCAAAAAATTCATTGCTGTGTCCATGCCTGGCAGCATTCTCAGCATGCCATAAACATCTTCCCTAATACTCCTGTCAACCTCAGGACACTTCGGTGTTGTCTGCATTTGGGAGGCCACCAAGATGGTTGGATGTGCAGTACAGAGCTCAGACAAGAGGCAGGGCTTGGACAAGAGACAGGACTGAAAATGCTTGAAGCACCTACCCAAGCCCTCACTTCTCTAATCTTTTCCACCCAGGTGGATAATTTGTATTTTTACACCTACTTAATAATGAATGGTCGCAACTTGTTAAGTGAGCGGCTGGGGAAAACTAGGCAGAATTGGTTCTTTTTGCAGGTATTCAAGCATCTGGACCCTCCTATACTTTCCAACAGGCCTGCCAGGCTGCTCCTGGCAGCCCTACAATGTAATCTGAACTGCTCCACCTCGTCTAGCCTCCCTTTCCCACTTACCCTCGGTGGCTGACTTCACCTTCTGCTTTTACTAGGGATGCCCTCCATGGGACTTTCCTTACACTCCCCTTTTGCTGTGTGGGTTAAATGAGGTCCTGTGTGTAAGCATTTAGCATAGTGTTGGGTATGTGGTAATGCCATGCAAATGTTATTGTTCCTAGAAGTTTTCTTAATCCTCTCTCATTTTCTCTTGCCTGTCTTTTCTCTTTTCTCCTCTATCTCATTTCCAGCCTCAGAGGCATCTTGCTTATCTCCAGGGCAAACACCTCCAAGGCTTCTTGACCTCAGCCTTCCTTTTTCTCCTTTAGGACCTTGGTTCCCACCACCCCACTCTGACCATCCCCATTCATAATATGTCTAATTACTTCTTTTCTACTCATTTCTTCTCACTGTTTTCAACCAAAGACACTTTTCTCCCCTGCTGATGTCCCATCCTCTGGACCTGAAAACTTTGAGGTCATCTTGGACCCATTCCTTTTCTTCTACTGCCTACAAAGCCCCAAATACCCCTTGTCTTCCTCTTTGTTTTCTTGGTCTTCTCCTCCCTTTCCCCCAATTTTTGCACTCTACTCTAGACTCTTATGAATTAAGCATAGTTTTCAAATGGTGGCTGTAAGGATTGAGTTATATCCCTCAAAACTGTATGTTGGAATCTCAACTCTCACCTGTGGATACAATCCTGTTTGGGAGTAGGGTTTTCTTTGTTAGGTAAATGAGGCCATATCAATGTTGGTGTGTGTCCTAAACCTACATCTGATTTCTAAGGAGTAGCATAGAAACATACAAGGAAGCATAAATGGAGGAAGATACATGCCATGTGAAGATCACCAAGGAAGTGAGGAACTGCAGTTAGAGAAACTGAGAGAGACAAGGATCTTCCCAGAGTAGACAGAGAAAGAGTCTTCCCCTAGAATCGGTGCCCTGAATTTGGACTTCTAGCCTCCTGAAATATAAGAACATAAATTTATATTTGTTAAAGACATCCATTCATGGTATTTCTGTTATAGAAACACTAGGAAACTAAGACAGTGGCCCAGGAAGACCACAAAGTTAAAAACTATTTTTATAATAGCACCAAGAAGTTACTTGGGTTTTTCATCTCATTCTATCCTGAATGTACAGTGGAGTTTTCCAGTGGCCACATGACATGTGATATCCCTACTCTGAGGACTAAAATAAAACAAAACAAAAACCAAATCCACTGCCGTGGAATTGATTCCAACTTATAGCAACTCTACAGGACAGAGTAGAACTGCTCATAGGGTTTCCAAGGCTGTAATCTTTACGGAAGCTGCATGCCTCATCTTTCTCCCATGAAGTAGCTGGTGAGTTTGAACCATTGACCTGTAAGTTAGCAGTCAAATACTTAACCACTACACCATTAGAAGGAAGGTTGGGCAATCTACTTCCGTAGTGCTACCACCTCAGAAACCCAAGGAAGGGTTGCCATGAGTCAGGTCTGACTCGACGGCACATAATAACAACACCATTAGGGCACCAACTGATGGAGGTTATCCTAATTTGTTCTTGTGTTTTAAAAATGTCTCAGTTTTAATTTCTAGCATCCTAAATAGTGATAGATATAACCCACATAAATAAAAGCTCCTTGAGGCCTCAATAATTTTTAAGAGTGAAAAGGAGGCTTGAGACCAAAAATCTTGAGAACCTTGACCTGCACCCTCCTACCCTATATGGAGCCTATGTGTGAATTAGAAGAAGACGCCTGCTCTGGGTGGATGTGGCCCTGGACCTGACAGCCATGTCCAGATTGGACTTCATCCCTGATTCATCGCCTCAGCTAGCACTTTGAGAAATGCACAAACTACCTAACTGCACATGCTGTCCCTGCATTTACACACTTCCCAACTTGTGTCCCAATCTCTCACTCTTCTCTAGACCTATTCATTCTGCATACTATTGTCAGATTGCTCTTATAGAGATACTGTGATCTTACTGTCTTCCATCTCAAAGGGCCTCCATGGCCCCTATAGGAATTCTAGCCTTGGTGGTGTGGCAGAGAGAATCCTCTACCATCTGGCTTTCTTTCCCAGTGCTCCTTGACACAGGCTCACTTCTCTGGCTAAATTCTTCTTTCCTCTTTTCCCACCTCAGCTCACAATATGCCCTCAGCCTTCCATAAACGAAAAACCAAACCACACCAGTTGCCATCAAGGTATCTCTGACTCATGGTGACCCCATGAGTTTCAGAGTAAAATTATGCTCCAAAGGATTTTCAAGGAGCTCTGGTGGGGTAGTGCATAAGGCATTTGACTGCTAACCAGAAGGCTGGCAGTTCAAACCCACCAGCCACTCCTCAGAAGGAAGGTTGAGCAATCTACTTCCGTAGTGGTACCACCTCGGAAACCCAAGGAAGGGTCACTGTGAGTCAGGTCCAACCCAACGTCAGTGAGTTTGGTTTGGTATAGGATTTTCAATGGCTGATGTTTCAGAAGTACATCACCACATTCTGAGGGGCCTCTGAATGGACTCAAACTTCCAACCTTTTGGTTAACAGCCAAATGCTTAACTACTTGCTCCATCCAGGGGCTCCCAGCCTTCCTTCTTCCCTCTAACTCTTTCCCTAGTCTCTGCTTACATAAACTCTAAGTTCAAAGGCCCTGTCTTGCTCAGCTTTGCATCTCTCATTGTATCTAGCAATGCCTTGCACACAATCGAAGGAGTGGAAAGTGCATGAGATTTGGAATCCAGCAGACTGAGATGGGAGTGCTGGTAGCATAGTGGCTAAGACACTTGCCTGCTAACCAGACGGCTGGTGGTTCAAACCCACCAGCCACTCCTCGGAAGGAAGGTTGGGCAATTCTACTTCCATAGTGATACTGCCTCGGAAACCCAAGGAGGGGTTGCTATGAGTCGGGTTTGACTCAACGGCACATAACAACAACAACAACAGACTGAGATATGAAACCTTGATCATTTACTCACCAGCTGAGTTTGTTGTTTAACCCTCCAAACATCAGAGAGAGTCCCTTGCCTATGTGGAGACAATACTGGCTATTTCCCAGGGTGGTTGTGAGAAGCAGATGCTCAATAAAGATTAGTTTCCTTCTCTGCCTTTTCTGAAAAGTGCAGGGTGCAGAGAGAAGTTATGTGTAATTTTACACTAAGTGGATATGATGTGGGGCATTTGCACATTCTACCTGTGGTGTCCTAGTGACGAGAAAACATTGATTCATTTCCCCAAGGGCCTTGCTTTTTCCTGAAAAGCTGACTAATTTTGCTGCAGGCTTACCTATTTTGGAATTTTCCAGTTGTCAAATATATTTTGGCTCTCAGCTCAACTTACCCAAGTGCCACTCGCTCTGAGTGCCAGCAGATTCATTTCCTTGATCTAATGATCCAGAAAGAGAACTGTCTTCTACTTCATGACCCAGGCATGCAGATTTATTGGAGGTCCTTTACTTCAAGAGTTTTAGATTGTTGACTGCTGTCCATGACCCCCCTAATGTGATAACCCCTTTGAGAAGGTTGGTCACTTGCTCCAGGTCATAAAGAGAATCTGTGGAGAAGGTGGGGCTTAAACTTGGTATTTCCTTTCACCAGGCTGAGCACAGTTTGAGAACAGGAAGGATCCTATTTGTCTCTGTATCAGCATCATTCAACCCAGGGCTGGACATAGAATAGGTGTTTATTAAGGGTTTGCTGAATTCATAAAGGAATAAAGATGATCTCCAGATGCACTTTGAGCAGATCTTGGAGATAGCTAATCACCTATCCCCCCAGGCAGAGTAGCTCATTCATTCATTCATTATTACATCTAACCAATATTCATGTGCCAGGCACAGTTGTAGGTACTTATGATACAGCACTAAACAAAATGGGCAGTGTGTTTGATCTCCATAGAGCATCCTTTCTATTTGGGGAACAGATAATAAAACAAACAAATAAATGTTTAAAGTAATGCCAGGTGGTGATGTATGCTAGAAAGAAGCATATAGCAGGGTGAAGGATTAGGCAGCATTAGGGCAGGAGTGGTAGTGGCAGCTTTTTTTTTTTTTTTAACAGAGGATAGTCAGAGAAGGCAGCATGATTCCTTAATGATGTGAAGATGTCAGTCTTGCAGATATGTTGGATAACAGCAATACTGGCAGAGGGGATAGCAGCGAGTACAGAGGTCCTCAGGTGAGCACACACAGGTCATACTGTTGAATTTGACAGACAGGAAGAAGATTAGAATGGCTGAAGAGGAGTTGAAGAAGTGGGGCAGAAAGGACATCAGAATGGTGATGGGAGTCATACAAAGCATGTAGGGCTTTGGCTTTAACTTTCAATGAAATGGGAAGCCTTTGGAGGATTTGCGAAGAGTCATCCCAAACTGACTTAATAAAAGGGGCTCTTTGCCAGGCGAGTTAAGTGGGGCAACTTCCATTTTTAAATATGAGTCTTAATTTAAAAATTAAATAACATCATGGACTTAGAAGTACTCTTTTATTTATTTTTTTTCCCTTGCAAGACCTTGCTACACCCCTTCTGTTCTAATTCCTGATGAGCAGAAGATAGAGGCCTTCTTGGTCTCCCTGCCCTGGAAGGGGAGCTGGGCCACCTGTGGTTCAGGGTTCCCTTCCCCTCTCTCCTTGCCCACAGGAGACTGGAGCAGAACTTCTTCAACTGTAGCTGTGACATCCGCTGGATGCAGCTGTGGCAGGAGCAGGGGGAGGCCAAGCTCAACAGCCAGAACCTCTACTGCATCAACGCAGATGGCTCTCAACTGCCCCTCTTCCGCATGAACATCAGCCAATGTGGTGAGTGGGTGGCCCAGCCCTGCTGGCTCCAGAGAGGCAGCCCTGAGACACTGGCACTGCACATTAACCTGGAAAGCCAGGACCTTCCTTTCCCCACTGCCCTAAACCAAAAACCAAACCAAACTCACTGCTGTCAAGTCAGATCTGACTCATAGCGACCACTTCTTGGGTTTCTGAGGCAGTATCTCTATGGAAGTAGATTTCCCAGCCTTCCTTCTGAGGAGTGGCTGGTGGGTTTGAATCACAAGCCCTCTGGTTAACAGTCAAATGCCTTAGGCACTGCACCACCATAACTCCTTGAACTCTGAAGTTGGGTGCACATCTGACCCACCTTTTACCTCCTTGATCATTCCTGTCCTTTTGTGAGCTAGCCATAAACTCACTGACATCCATGGGAAGGTTGATTTCAGGATTGTGGAAAGACACTAGATGTGCCCCTTCTCATCAGACAGATTTCCTTTCTTTTTGTGCACTATCAGCCATTCAGATCTGAAATGTTGTTGGGTGCCATCAAGTCAATTCTGATTCTTAGAAACACCATGTAATAGAGTAGAACTGCCCCATAGAGTTACCCTGGCTGTCATTTTTATGGGAGCAGATTGCCAGGTCTTTTCTCTTGTGGAGCTGCTGGTGGGTTTGAATGGCCGACCTTTTGGTTAGCAGCCAAGCACTGAACCAGTATGCTATCAGGGCATATGCTACTTCAGTGTATCTCAAAGTGTGGTCTTTGGACTCCTGTATCAGAAGCATCTAGTGTGCTCTTCAAGAAGCAGACTTCTAGGCCCAACCACAGACTTACTAAACCAAAATCTCTGGGGATGAGTCCTGGAAATCTGAATTTCTTACAAGTTCTCATGGGAATTGAAGCACACCAGCATTTGAAAAACGACCAAAATGAATGATATCATTTGATTTAATAGCTAGAATCACATTCCTCGAGTAGATACCCCCATCCCACTCTCATCCCCAGCCATGTAAGAGAGCTCAACTGCATGAACATGAATTCTGGGTTCTGGTATCTCCTGAGGAGGTAATGTGAAGTTTCTGGGGCTTGAGAGCCTACGAGAAGCTCAAGGAGATTGTGCTGGAGTTGCTTTTGGGCAAGTTATGAAGTGCCACCGTCAGGTCCTAGACAGAGCTTCCTTCTGGTAGTAAGTTTTTGCCTGTCTTTTTACCTGCTCTGTCCTCCTTCCCCTTAGATCTTCCTGAGATCAGTGTCAGCCATGTCAACCTGACCGTACGAGAGGGTGACAATGCTGTCATCACTTGCAATGGGTCTGGGTCACCTCTGCCTGATGTGGACTGGATAGTCACTGGGCTGCAGTCTATCAACACCCACCAGGTAAGCATCCTAGCCTCAGGCTCCATCCAGGAGCTTGGGGACCCATCACCTCTTAGTCTTAATGAGCTAGAACATAAACAGAAGTAACAGATATGAGAATAAGGAAGAAGAAGAGGGAAGATTTGTGGCTCTATTTATATAGGAAGAGACACATAGACTTGGGTTCCATCCAGTTGCATTACTTTCTAGACATCTTGACCTTCTACAGGATACTAAACTTCTCTGTACCTTGGTTTACTCATCTGGAAGATAGGCATATTGATAGTATTCCTCTCATAGGGTTATTGTGAAGACTACCAGGGATATTGAATATAAAGATTCTAGAAATTGGTTGGTGCCATCTTTATTACATGTTGTTAAAGTTATGTAATCACTAGAAAGGCCTCCTTTACCTTCTGCTCAGCTTTCCTTTTGATTGGTAAAGGTGTTTTGGAGTTAGGAGGGAGGAGCCGCTTTTGTAGAAACTGTTAGTTGTTATCTTTTTATTGAAATTTTCAGACAAATCTGAACTGGACCAATGTGCACGCCATCAACCTGACACTGGTCAATGTGACGAGTGAGGACAATGGCTTTACCCTGACCTGCATCGCTGAGAATGTGGTGGGCATGAGCAATGCCAGTGTTGCCCTCACTGTCTACTGTAAGTGAACACCATTGTGGAGTACTGCTGTGTGCCACAGAGACACTTGGGCAGGGTGCTGGGGAGGGGGATAGAGGTGTTACTAGGGTTGAGCTAGAGTGGTGGGTCTGCCTACCAAGAGAGGCAGAAAGAGCATTCATTGTAGGGCAAGACTGACCAGTGGCTCCTTGAATCATAACTCCCAATGTTATCCTTGAAATAATGTTGTGTACTCCTAACTCAACTACATCTTCAAGGCACTCCTAAGTCAGCTCGAAGAATCGAGCTGATGTTAAATCCCTAAAGGTCCTAAGAGGAAATTCTCCAGCTAAGGTGGATCCAGGAAGCTTGAGTGAAGATGTCTATCTCTTTCCCTCTGTTAGGGTGGTGGTGGAGAGACCTCTGATTCTCTGAGGCCTCTTAAGAGCTGGGTGGGGAATAATGAGATTGCTGTCCCAGTTTCTGGAAAGCTGTTCCAGGGCACGGGAGAATGTGTCTCCAGCTTCAGCCAGCCTCTCCCGGCAGACCCCCCACGTGTGGTGAGCCTGGAGGAGCCTGAACTGCGCCTGGAACATTGCATCGAGTTCGTGGTGCGTGGCAACCCCCCGCCAACGCTGCACTGGCTGCACAATGGGCAGCCCCTGCGGGAGTCCAAGATCATCCATGTGGAGTACTACCAGGAGGGTGAGGTCTCTGAGGGCTGCTTGCTCTTCAACAAGCCCACCCACTACAACAACGGCAACTACACCCTCATCGCCAAAAACCCACTGGGCACAGCCAACCAGACCATCAATGGCCACTTCCTCAAGGAGCCCTTTCCGGGTAAGGGAGCTACTGAATCCTTCTGGGAGGTTATGGGGGATAGGATGGATAGCTTGAGGGGAGAAGCAGTAATAACATGAATACTGTTATCATGGGTAAACAAACACACACTGGAACACACCCAGCCACCATCAGTATGCTGTGTACATTAGGATAAAGTTTGTTTTCCAATAGCTGTCATAGTAAAAGCCAGGATTCTCAGAAATATGCAGCTGTGCATATAAGGACATAGTGTGTGATGGCAGAGAAAGCAGGGATTTCATAATTGGACAACAATGGTGCAAAATCTTGATCGAACCCTTTCCTTGTTGGGAGACTCTGGATGATAGTTTACTTTCTGAGCCTCAATTCTCTCATCTGTGAAACGGGCATGATTACACTTCTCCCATAAGAGTCTGTGGCTTTTAAATGAGTTAAGTTACATAAAACACTTTTCACAGAGTTTTTCACATAATTGTGGTTCCATAACTTTCTGTTGTAAGAGACTTCAGAAACTGTCTAGTTCAATGCCACATTTAACAGATACATAAACTGAACCTTATTACATGTGTTGTGCATCCTTGTCTTTCTTGTTCCTGGTAAGACAATGGGGGAAACTTGATGCTTTCAGCCTGTGCAGGTGCTGATGCCAAACGGACCAAGGGCAATGATTGAAGCAATTAAAGATCTTTGCTTGATTGAATATTTGGGACATGATTCTGTCTTTCTCAGTTTGAGCTCTAACACCCCTAAATACCTCCCAGAAATCAGAGAAGAAAACCTCAAGAGTTTATTTAAAGTGGCTGCAGTATTTCTTAGTGGGCTTAGCAATTAAAACCTATCTGTCCATGAAACCATGTATCTTTGGTTACCGTGGTCCTTTATGCTGAGAAATAGATTAGATGCCCTCTTGAACTTCAGTCTCCAGAAATCAAGAGTGTAATGAGATAAAGGGAAAAGCTGGCATCACACACACACACACACACACACACACACGGAGAGAGAGGCCACAGAGCTAGCATTATGCAACATCTGCTGGTGTGAAGGCAACTTCACAGTCTTCAAATTTATCTTAGTGTGAGAGAACTTGAACCAGAGGCCCAGGAATGAAGATCTAGAAAAGAAAGGCTGCCTGGGAAGCTAATTCTTGCCATTGAGATCCAGGAGATAATACAGATAGTTCTTAGGAGAAGTTGTGACCATGTGAGTGTTAGAGACCTCAGTAATCTCATATGGTCAGAGAGTTACAACATCATCTCCAGTATGCCCAGCATAGGCCTGTTGGGCCATGCCAGGCTCTCTTTTGGGAGCTAGCAGAGTTGTGGCCCATACTGAAAGCAGCAGCTTATAAATGCAGAGATACTTTGCCCTCATGCGTCACAAAGTCAGAGCAGGACTGTTGACATTAGGGCTGGGGTGGCCGTTTGCTCTGCCTGTGTCTGCAGATTTGAGAATGAATTTTGTTTTCAGAAAGGAGAGTCTACATTCTCCAATGAGTTACGAATGACGCACCTGAAGCAATGCTTCTGCTTCAAAAGGGCAACTTCTGGGATCTGGAGAGGACAGGGAGCCATAGAATATTCAAGAGGGAGGGTGAGCCATTCTGGGTTTCTTCCCTTCAGAGGGTGTCAAGGGGCAGCATGAACAGTGGGGTTGGTGTGCTGGGAAACAGCCTTTCCCTTGCCTCCTTCCTCATGGGTAGTTCTCATCCCCCCAGACACTTGGACACCCCCTTTATCCTCATGAAACACAGCGGCCCATTGACATAGTCCCCAGATATCCTTTTACCACTTAGTTGATTGTCAGTTCTCCTTAGGCCAGTAGTTCCCAAAACAGCAGCATCAGCATCACCTGGCAATGGGTTAAAGCTCAAATTGTCCAGCCCCACCCCGGACCTACCAGTTACTATTGAGTTGACTCTGATTCATGGTAACCCCATGTGTGTCAGAGTAGAACTGTACTCCCAAGGATTTTCAATAGCTAATTTTTAGGAAGTAGATTGCCAGGCCTTTCTTCTGAGGTGCCCCTGAGTGGACTTGAACTTCCAATCTTTCCATTAGTAACCCTATACCTACAGATTCAGAAACTCTGGGGTGGGGCTCAGCAGTCTGCATTTTGACAGGTCCTTGCTCAGGTTTGCAATCCATGGGCCTGGCATTTGGGTGGAATCTGGCCCCAGGAGGAGGGAGGGAGGATGGAATCACAGAGGAGGTAGAAGGGGAGCAGCTCACCTGAGGTCACTTCCTCAGCCTCATCCAAACACTGCCAGGGCCACCCTGGGTGAAGGTCGGCTTGTTTTGTGAGCTTAATGTTAAAGGAATCAATGGTGATGAAAAGGCAGTGACAGGAAAAGGATGGGCTGGTCTTGTTGAGTGACAAAATGTCTAAATGCTCAAGAGAGTAAATTATTTTGGGGAGCAGAACAGGGTTATGTCATAAGCTCTCTAAAGTGAACTTCATACCTGTTAAACCCTAGATGCAGGGCTGGTGTGTGGGTATCTTATTGTCTCTTTTGATGTGAGGCTGGACACATCATATTTATCATGTGTACCTGTCTCAGTGCTCCCAGACAGCAGAGCATAGAGGTTAAGACCAAGGGCTCTGAAATCAGACAGTCTGGATGCAAATCCCATCTGTGGTCCTGCCAGATAAATGGCATGGGCTTGAGAAAGGGGCTTAGTATATGGCAGGCATTCATTAAAGGACACTACTCTATGCCTACATTGGTCATGTTGTCCAAAGGGACCATTCCCTGGAGAAGGATATGCTTGGTAAAGTGGAAGGTCAATGAAAAAGGGGAAGGCCCTCAATGAGATGGATTGACACAGTGGCTGCAATGATGGGCTCAGATATAGCAAGGATTGTGAAGCCGGCACAGGACTGGACAGTGTTTCGTTCTGTTGTATATAGAGTCACTATGAGTTGGAGTGGATTCGACAGCACCTAACAACAACAACTCTATGCCTCTGTTTATTCATCTGTGAATTTGGAATGGTAGCCGTAGTGCTATCGAAAGTGCCATGAGGATTAAACATACACCAAGTGTTTAGCATTGTGCCTGAACAAGGGAAAGACTTAACAGTTATAATTAGAATTTTCAGGATGTTGAGAGGAGACAAGTTCAGATTTCTAGAAGTAGGACTCTTCTCTGGTTAAGCTATTAGCTAGTCTTCAGCTAATCTGATGCTATCTGCCATCAAATTAACTCCTGCCTCATGATGGCCCCATGCATGAAACACGATTGGATTGTTGTGATCCCTAGGGCATTCATTGGCTGATTTTCAAAAGTAGATTGCCAGGCCTTTCTTCCTAGTCTGTTTTAGTCTGGAATCTCTGCTGGCACCTGTTCAGTATCATAGCAGCACACAAGTCTTTACTGAAAGATGGGTGTGGCTGTGCAATAAGGTACATTGGCGGGGAATCCAACCCAGGTCTCCCACTTTCAAGGTGAGAATTTTCCCACTGAAGCATCAGTGCTCCCAGGCAAAGTAGGGCAGTGGTTATGGAGCCAGGTTGCCAGGGTTTAAACTCTAAACTCTCACTCAATCACTTATCAATTCAGTGACCTCAGGCAAATTACTTAGCCCTCTGCTTCCATTCAGGATGAAATGAGCTAATCCATGTAAAGTGTTTACCACAGTGCTCGCCATACAGTAACAAGGAAGTACTCTTAGTTTTTTTTTTTTTTTTAATTCAATTAGTTATTTTTTAAGAACACAAAAGGGCAACTGAAAGATCTCTGTGTTTTGGGAAGGAACAAGGATCTGAAGGCAAGGGTCTCCTTTCCTGACTATTTATGGGCCCAGGAACCAGGGGGAGAAAATAGAGTTGAATGAATATATTCAGTGGCACAATCTGCAAACACGGTAAGGATTACTGCTTCCATCAGTAAGGATTTTCTCAGAGCAGGAGATCAAAAGGAGCAACATTCTAGAAAAGCTTTCTGTAAACTGCACATGCTGTTATGGATGTTGGTATTTCCTTCTACATTTATTGAGAAGCGCCACTACCTTCCACATGGGATTCAGCCTTAGTGTAGGAGGTCCCTGGAAGGATTGGTCAGGAAGATCCACTCTGGAAGCTTGAGGCTGAATCCTTTTTGGTGCTCAAGGACCATAGAGAGGCTGTCAGAAGGGATGTGGGCATGGGATTCAGAAACCGGGAGGAATTAGGCATCAGAGTGGATCAGGAAGTGAAGAGCAGGGTGAGCTGAGAAGCATGTTAGGGTGGAAGGTGGCATCTCAAAGCCACAGTCTGGGAGCAATTATGAAGGTGGGGAATCCTTCAGTGATGATGTGATGGAAGGAGGAATGTTGCCAAGGCGTGTATGTATATGTGCACATGAGTGCATAGGTGCAGCAAATATCTGAGTGCTCTTGACAAAATATTTAGGAATGAGTGAGCTGCCATATTTTTTGAATTTTCTCTCTCTCTCTCTTTTTTTTTAAAAAAACAAAAACAAAAACAAAAACTTGGCCAGAAAGTACTTTCATTATGATTTTTATGACAAGAAACTAAAATTCACTGCCATAAAGTTGATTCTGACTCATAGTGACCCCCATTGGGTTTCCAAGGCGGTAAATCTTTATGGAAGTATATTGCCCCATCTTTCCTCTATGGAGTACCTGGGGTTGTGGTTTGAATGGCCAACCTTCTGGTTAGCAGTCAAGTAGCATAGACACTATGCTGCCAGAAAGAAAAATAAGGAAAAAAAGAATGGGAGAAACTGCTGCCTACCATCCTCAGGCTTGTCAAGATGGTTTCCTTCCCTTAAAAACCTGCTTGAGACTAGAATGTGGGCCCAACCTGCTAGGAAAGAGGAGGTGACCATTTAATTTCTCTCCATGCTTGACCAGCCAGCAGCTGGATGTGGCAGAGAGAAATAAGGTGCTGTGTATGACTGGCAGTGTGTTAATGCCGGAGTAATCTTTCTCCCTCCTAACATCCAAAGCCAGGGCTTCTCTTCTTGTCATCACTTTTCTTCTTATCTTTGCTTCTCTTCTTGTCATTGCTTCTCAGTTTTTCTCTCTCTGTCTGTCACAAGTTGCTGCCTCTCTTTTCCCTCCTCTGGACCCCACTGGGTTTTCCCACAAGGCCCCTTTTTCAGGAGTATTGTGTTTGGGATTATTGGAGGCATGTGCATTGCATTCATTGCAAAGCCAGTCTTACTCTGATGGTAACTTGGCATAATGGTCCATTCCTTCTCCTCATCTGCCAAGGGGGTGGGGTCAGAGGTGAGGACCATTCCTGGGTATTATCCTATTTCACTGTGAAAGCGTGAGTCTCCTCACCCACTTGCAGGTTATAGTGGAGCCAAGCATCTCAAAGGCTCATGTGCTTTGTGGGGGTATAAATGTTCTCAGGCACTGGCAGAAGAGTTAAGCATTCATGGACTGAATGGAATATTACAGGGTTCACAGATTTGGCCAAAACGTTTTCTCATGTGAAAATATTCTCTACTAAATGGGAACCTTATGAGAAATATGCAAGTCAGTGTAAACCTTGAGTTGATCTGACACTTGTCTTCTCCTAGGCTCTGAGGCCAAGGCTACAGTCCCCTTGTACTTGCCCCTCCCTCTAAGCCAGGCATTTGATCACCTGCAATTTGGAAGAGGGTGGTGACATGAAGAACATGCTCAGAAATATGGAGAAAGTTCTCCTGTCCCCCAAAACAACACAAAGCAAGCAACAATAAAGGAATGGTATCTACGGTAAACAAGGCTTTCTCTGATGGACTCCTTCTTCCATAGAAAACATCATTTTCCCCACAGATAGTTAGAGAAGATGGTTTGCTGGCTTGTACTTAATAGCACTGTGATGACAATGACTGTCAGGGTCCAGCCAAGGGCTTGGTATATACAGGACTTTCAATGAATGAATAAATGAATGAGTGAATTATTCTTTTTCAGCATGTGGTAGGCTTATAGCAGGAGGAGATATAATATAGGCTAGTGGTTCTCAGAGTGTGAACCCTGGACCAGCAGCAATAGCATCACAGGGGAACTTGCTAAATATGCAAATTCTTGAGACCCAGCCCGGATTTACTGACTCAGAAACTCTCGTGGTGGGGACCAGTGATTTATGTTTCTTTTCAATTTTTAAAGATTTTTAGTTTTTCAACTATTCCAAAATATAGAAAAGGATGGAATCTTCCATAACTCATTTTATGAAGCAAGCATAACCTTGATACCAAAACCAGGCAGACATCACTCTAAAGGAAAACTACAGACCAATATCCCTCATGGATATAGATGCAAAATCTTTGACAAAATCCTAGCCAATAGACTTCAACAACATATCAAGAAAATCATTCATCATGACCAAGTGAGGTTCATATCAGGTATGCAGGATGGTTCAACATTAGAAAAACAATCAATGTCATCCACCATGTAAATAAAATAAAAGAGAAGAACCACATGATCATATCAATTGATGCAGAAAAGGCATTTGATAAAATCCAACACCCATTCCTGTTCAAAACTCTCAGCAAAATAGGAATTGAAGGGTCATTCCTCATCATAATGAAGGGCATCTATGCAAAACCAACAGCCAAATTATTCTCAATGGAGAGAGACTGAAACCATTCCTCTTGAGAACAGGAACCAGACAAGGATGCCCACTATCACCACTTCTATTCAACACTGTACTGGAAGTCCTAGCCAGGGCCATAAGGCAAGAAAGGGAAATCAAAGGCATCCATATTGGTAAGGAAGAAGTCAAACTATCCCTATTTACTGACGATATGATCCTATACCTAGAAAACCCAAGAGACTCAATCAAAAAACTACTGGAACTAATTGAGAGATTTAGCAAAGTCGCAGGATATAAGATCAACATCCAAAAATCAGTTGGATTCCTCTATACCAGTAAAGATTTTTAGTTTTTCATTTTGAAATGAGTTAAGACTTACAAAGACTGTTACACAGTACTATGAAGAACTACTTTATAGCCAGTTCCCTGCATGCTAACATCTTACGTATGTACAGTCCGATGATTATCCAAACCAGGATATTAACAGTAATGCACTCTTACCTCCTCTGCAGACTTTATTTCCACTTTATCAAGTGTCCTCCTATGTATATTGCTCCTCCAGGATCCAATCAAGTGTTATACATTGCATTTAGTTACCATGTAACCTTAGTCTCTTGAAATCTGGGACTTTTTTTTAAGTACTTTGTCTTTCATGACTTTGACACCTTTGAAGAATTCTCACTGGTCATTTTGTAGAATGCCCCTCAGGTTGAGTTTCCCTGATGTTGTCTAAGGATTATTTTCAGATTATATATTTTTGGCAAGAACACACCAGGGCAGTGATGCTGTGCCCTGTTCAGTACATCCTATCATGGGTTACATGATAGTGATACGTCTTATTACTGGTGATGCTAACTTTGATCACTTGGTTGAGATGGTATCTGCCAGGTTTCCTGACTACAAAAGTATTGTTTTTTTCCTTTGTAATTAGTAAGTATAATGTATTAAGCCTATGTAAATATTTTGTGTCTCATCATTCTTCTACCCACTAATTTTCCATCCATTGATGATTGCTGCCTGAAGCAGTTATTATGGTGATATTTGTCAAATGGTGATTTTTCCATTTGTTAATTAGGAATCTGTAAGGGAGAGTTTTTCCTTCTTCATTTATTTGTTAATCATTTATTTATATCAGCATGGACTTATGGGTATTTGTTTTATTCTATGGGTTATAATTCATTATTGTCATTATTTTATTGCTCAACACCATCCCAAATTTGGCCTTTGAAAGCACCTTCAAGTTGGCTTCTGTGTCCTTTCTTCATGTCCTCATAATTTTTTAGCCCTTTTTACTTTCCAGGACCACAAAATCTTCCAGACTTATCTTGTACTTTTCTGCCCCAGAGCTATAATCAGCCATTTCTCTAGGGAGCCTTCATTCCTTTTATTGAAGAATGGTAGTGATCTGTGTTTTACAGTCCTCTAGATGATTCTGTTGCCCACTAAAATTTGAGCCTAGCGCTACCATTTCCTAGTTGAGTGACATTGAATGAGTTGCTCAATTCTGTAAGCCTCAGTTTTCTTATCTGTTAAATGAGGGTAATATTACTTACCTCCTGCTGTAATTATTCTTGTAGGGTTGCCCTAAAAAAGGACCACAAACTGGGTGGCTTAAAAGAATGAAGAAATCCATTCTCTAGCATTTCTGGAGGTTGTTGTGAGGTGTCATTGAGTTGGCTCTGACTCAGTGACTCTGTGTACAACAGAAGAAAACACTGCCTAGTCCTGCACCATCCTTACAATATTTGCTATGCTTGAGCTCATCATCAGAGCCATTGTGTTAATCTATCTTGTTGAAGGTCTTCCTCTTTTTCGCTGACCCTCTTCTTCACCAAGCATGATGTCCTTCTCCAGGGACTGGTCCCTTCTGGTAATGTGACCAGATTACATGGGACGAAGTCTGCCCAGACTTAGGTGTTGGCAGGACCATCCTCCCTCTGAAACTTCTAGAGGAATATCTTTCCTTGCCTCTTCTGGAGTCTGGTAGCCCCAGACATTCTTTGGCTTGTGGCAGTCTTCATATGTTTATATTCCCTCTGTGTCTCTATCTTATGTCTCTTCTTATTACGGCACCTGCCATATTGGATTAGAACCCACCTTAATCTAGTATGACCTCATGTTAACTCATTAGATTTGCAATGACTCTATTTCCAGATAAGGTCACTTTTTGAAGGTCCAGGAAGGACATGAATTTTGAGGGAAGGCACTATCCAACCCAATACAGATGGTTATAAGAATTGTATATAATACATAAAGCCTTTAGCACAGGCCTGGCACATAATCGATGTCCAATAAGGAATGGCTTTGATTATTAGATGAGCTACTTCTAGAGGCCAAAGGTCAAATATTACATTTCCAAGGGTATCTGCTTTTGGGGTGGGTAGATTTTAGGGTGATTCTCAAGGACCTCACAGTGACTTACTGGAATCTACTCCACATCTTGATTTGAGGAATTTTGTCCTGAGATCATAGCTGGCATTTTCAACACAGGACTGGGAGCCCACCCTGGGAGCCCACCCTCACAGCATTTCCTCTTGGCTCTTATGTACCACCACCATCCACAGTGCTCTGGGCATTTGAAGGAGGGAGGGCTTGGATGACACAATGAGTCTGGATTTAATTCCCCATTTTATAATGAAACTAGCTCTGTATTTCCCCAGGGAGCCATTTCCCTTGAAAGCAGAGGCCTTTTCTCTTATTCCTTCTCCATTTCTGAGGGCCACACTCCAAAGAGGGAGGTGGGGTAGTAAGGGTGGGGATGTGACATACTGCTATCAAGTTGTTTGCGACTCATAGCGACCCTATAGGACAGAGTAGAACTGCCCCTTAGGGTTTCCAAGGCTGCAAATCATTACAGACTGCCTCATCTTTCTCCTGTAGAGCCACCGGTAAATTTGAACCACCGACCTTTTAGTTAGCAGGCAACTGCTTTAACCACTACACCATCAGAGCTCCTCAGAGGGAAGGTGATGTTCCAAGGATTTGCATTTGTTAGTTGCATGGTAACAGGTGATCATGGTGAGGGAGAGAGATCATAGCTATTAGGATGATACAATGTGTCTCTTCTGATTTTTATTGTATTTGCTAATTATCTTTTTTTATGTTTTTTGTTTTTTTTGCAGAAAGCACCGATAACTTTGTTCCTTGTAAGTCCTTTTGCTTTGAAACTGATTGTATTCTGATACTTTTTGTAACTCTTGAATCCAAATAGCCCTCTTCCCTCATTCACCACTCTTCCCAGCCCCAGGACAGCTGGGCACATCTGAGTTAACTGCAGAAGGAATAGGACAGTGGAAGCATTTTCAAGTCCACACTTCTTGGGCAGTCTCTCTGTGACTCAGTTTCTCCTAGGGAGTTTTCCATGTCTGACCATGTGCTGGGTCCCCCTACCTGGATAGAAGAGGCTGTTTCAGGAAGACATGGGGTATCATGTTTCCCGTTAGTGCCCTGTTGATCATCACACTATTGTTCTTGCAGAGAGGATGTGGAGCCTATAAACCTGTTAAAGAGTCTCCCCACTTCGAGTCTTTACTGGGACCCACTCTGTATACAGCTGTAAATATATAAGCTCTCCTGAAAGGCTCGTGTATCTTCAAATGGGCCTATTGAGACTTAGTTTATAAGCAATTTGGGGCTAGGGCTAGACACTCCCAAAAGGATTTGGGATTTTTATGATGAGCTATGGGAAAAACTATATTTTTCTTTTCTCTCTTGTGGAGGTGGGAATAACAGTGAGAACCTCTGCCATTTCTGCCCAGTGCTGTGCCTGAGATGGTAGACCAATCTTGTTCAGGAACACCTCCTGCCATTTGGCACAGATGTAAATATCATCTGTGGTTCCTTTATTTGTCCTCAGTCTTAGGGGACTTGTAGTCTCACAGAATGACCCTGCAGAGAATTCTGAACTGGATCTGTCTCTAGCCAAGGAGGTGATTCTAGATGGAGGACAAACTGATACTTGGCTTCCCATCCAGACTCTGCTTGGTCAAGGTGGTGTCTTCCTTGGTCAGATGGATCTGTTGTTAAATCTGAGCTATCCTTGTGCACTGATATCCGTGGTAAGGGAATGGGTAGTGGATTTTTCATGGAGCCACTGGCCTCCTGGATCTCACAGAGGTGGAAAGAGGGAAAGAGGAAAGGCATAGGAGACCCAGGTCTAGGAAAAAGAATGCCTACCACAGGGAGTGGCAGAATGTCAGCGACAGCTGCCATCACCAACATAATTTGCCTAATCCAGACCCTGGCCCGGATCCCAAACCTTTTTCCTCTTTTCTGTCAATAGCTCATGGTTCATGTTGCCCCAGTTCTGTATGTTTTCTGGGGTGGAGGCAGAGGAATGGGTGTGAAGGTCCTTTTATTGTCTAGGGTACCTGCCCTTGGCCATCAGCACTAGCCTGGTGGCCAGACAGGGACCTGATCTCTGGGATTCCTTCAAAGCAAGGGAAACTCAGGCTTCAGGGTCTTGGCTTCAGAAGTGGGCTTGGGAGTCAGGCAGGGACTGGGGCAGGGCCTGTAGCTAACTAGTCTCTTTCTTTTGTTTCATTTTCAGTTGAAGTGAGCCCCACTCCTCCTATCACTGTGACCCACAAACCAGAGGAAGACACTTTTGGGGTGAGTCCCTTCTTGGTGTAGAGGAGGAAGTATTCTGATGCAGTAATTTTGAAACTTCATTTTGATAGCTAGTTTTTCCAAATGCTACCTTATTTGGAACCCCAGTATATATGGCAGAGGAAAGCTATGATGAATGGCCTCCTTTCAGGAAGTTTAAACCTACCTTGTTTGATGGAGAATAGTGCATTGTTTGAGGAAGTCTTTGAGGATCTGCTCAGAGCCCTAGGGTTTAGAAGAGAATAGTTTGAAAATCCCCACTCTGTAGGCACCTGGCTAGGCTTGATTCACAAGAACTACTGCCAGTCCAAGCTTCTACAAAAGTCCAAGTTGCCCAGGGCATCTCCTTGGTTGGGTTTTCAAGTCACCTTCCAATTCTCTACTGCTCTCTTGGAGTCTGAGGCTTCTCTGGGTTAAAGGAAAGAGTTGTTGCTAGAGTCTAGATCTTTTAGGACCTCCTGGATAAGAATATTATGGATATTATGTAAACAACTTCAATGTGAAGACACAGAAATTGCTTATTAATTAAAATGACAGCAACAGCATAACAATGGAAAGCTTGCCTAAGCTGTGCTCTTGCATCTCCTAAGATGGCTCCAAGATGAGATATTCTCAGAACATTGAATTGTGGAACTTACTCTAATCAAGTTGACTAATTTCTTTTTGCAAATGTTCTTGTTGATAATTGGCTGCTGTCGAGTTGGCCCTTGACTCATGGCAACCTTATGCACAATGGGACAGAGTGCTGCCTGGCTCTGTGTCATCCCCATGATCATATGTGGGTTAGACCATTGTGATCCATAAGATTTCCATTGAGTGATATTTGGAAGTAGCTCAGCAGGCTTTTCTTGCTAGCCTGGAAGCTCTGCTGGAACCTGGTCAGCATCATAGCACCATGGAAACCTCCACTGACACATGGCAATGAGATGCATTGGCTGGAAATCAAACCCAGGTCTCCCTCATGGAAGGTGAGAATTCTACCACTGAACCAGCACTGCCCCTATTATGATGTTCTTAACCAAAGTTCTTAGGGTCTCATAAATTACTTCTTCTAAAGGCTTGTCAGTAGCAAAGTTCTGAGAGTGCCAGCCACATTTGCTACTACAGTAGGACTGTTCCCATTTCACACACATATGTGTATGGTGCTGGTGCTTTCTGTGCCTGTTTCTGACTGTCTGTTTTTGGTTCCTGATAGGTATCCATAGCAGTTGGACTTGCTGCCTTTGCCTGTGTCCTGCTGGTGGTGCTCTTCATCATGATCAACAAGTATGGTCGACGATCCAAGTTTGGGATGAAAGGTAAGGTAGGATTTTCCTTCTCAAGGGGTGTTGTGGGGAAAACTGTGGCTCTTTTTGTGAAAACTGTGGCTCTTTTTGTTTGTAAGAGGCTGTGTTCATCTCTCTTTGCTCTCTGAGAGGGCCTATGGTAGTGGGCCCTAAGTGGTCCTGATAGGGACTCCTGTCTGCACCTATGGTTATTGGTAATTACAGATTGAAAGTAGTACTAGGAACTATGGGAACCAAGCTGTGGGCCATCTGGTTTTGCTGTGACTGCTGATTAACATTGTTTAGTGGGGCTGGTTGCAATGAGGCTAATTTGGAAATTATATTGGATTTGAGGCCCTAAGAGAACTTATCTTTCTTTTCATTAGTGGTGGGGCAAGTAACACCTTGTTTGAGTAACTTGGATTTTCCTGTGTCTGCACCAATCCTTGGAGTTCTGATGAAAAGATATTAGAATAGCTACACATAGGGTGGTGGACTGTAGCATTGAAAATCTGCCCATGTGATGGCATCTCAGCACGTAGCTCTACACAGAGTCCTAGAATGGATGCCAAGAGCAACATGAGTGCTAAATCTGCTGGCCAGCTTCCATGACATACAACACTCAACCCCATTATTGGTGGGGGTAGGGATGGCTTTCTGCCAAGGCTCGGGTAAGGGGACTGGCACAAGAGGGGTTAACATGGTGATTTAGCCTCCATCTGCCTGGGCCCAAGGATGGATTTGACCAAATGGCTCAAAGGAAGCTGGGTACCAGTTCCAAAACAGAAAGTTGATTTTAAGATCTACATGCAGCTGGGATTTCCATGTGTGGCAGATGTTGAGTGGAGGCTGGGTGGGGATGATGAAAGGCTTGACAAACAATCAGGTTGTTGGGACAGGATTCAGGTTGGTGTTTTCTTATGAGATTATGGGATATAGAAAGATGAATTTCTGGGGCTTCTATAAATGGGCTGGTGTCTGGTCAAACTGGTGTTATTGACCTCAAGGCTCAGGGACTTAAGAAGAGTATATGAATGAGATTCATGACGATAGTGATTCCCTGAATTTATTTGCAAATGTTTGAGTATTGTACATGGCACTAAGAGGGAGGGGAACAAATTAATCCAAAACTTTTGTCATATTCTCAAGAGATTCTGTTATTTCCTTAAAATCTTAGAAGACGGATATAAGAAAGAGATATCCAGAGAGGAATGTTGTTGTTGGTATGTGCTGTCGAGTCAGACCCAACTCAAGGACTCCTCCTTGGGTTTCTGAGGCAGTTTCACTACAGAAGTAGATTGTCCAACCTTCCTTCTGAGGAGTGGCTGGTGGGTTTGAACCACCACCCTTCTGGTTAGCAGTCAAATGCCTTAGGCACTACACCACCAGAGACAGAAAACATGGGAACAGATTCCCTGGTTTTCCAGAAGCCTTCTGCCTCTGCATATTCTTTCTGATTTTGATTAACCTGAACAAGTTGTGCCAAGGCAAACTGAGTTTATTGGCATCATATGAAATAGTTTGAAATATATGTACAGACAAATTATAAAGAGAGGACAGAAGCTGGGCCTAGGCTAGATGACTTAAATAAGATCAGACCACTCTTGAGCACCTTGATTGGAGATGTTTTATCTGCTAATATTCACCATGGGCTATTCAGGACTTCATAGGTTTAGACGATGAACTGAGCCAGCTCAAAGGTTTTGAGGCAACTCTCAAAGCTTTCACCCTTAAGATCAATTATTGGTTACCTGGCATTGAGATCTGGCACTATTGCTTTTGTAAAGTTTTCATACTGTGGGAGGAACCTTGCTAGCTGTTCCTCCTTCTACCTGAGAAAACATCAAGTTCTCAACCAAAGGGAAGAATGGGGCATTATCTGTCTCCTCCTAAGGAGGTGTACCACCAGCTGAGACCCTGAGACTTGCTTGGCAGGGTTATGAGAGCAGATTTTTCCTTTTAATTGTCATCAGGTTTCTGGAACAGTGTGTCCCCATGTCGGATGGATTAGGCAGCACCCAGGGCAGTGCGTCCCTCAGCTGTCCTCAGGGCCTCTCCCAGCCCCTGCTTCCCTCTCCCAGGCTGAGCTGTCTGCTTGGACCCTTGTTTGGCAAGGAGAGCATGTTCATGTAGGTGGAAGTGAAATATCCCTTATTCTAAAGTCAGGCAAATTAAACAGTTACCCTAATATTAAAGACAACATTGGAATGGTATATGACTTTGTTTAAGATTAAGCCTGGATATTGCTTGTCTTTCTAAAGCCCAGTTGTATTCAGACATCATTTTAGGATGATAAGCAAGTGTCTGAGGTTGCACATACCAGTCATCTTGAGTTGATTCTGACTCATGGGGACCCCATGTGTGCATAGTAGAAATGCTTCATAATATTTCAAGGCTGTGACTGTTTGGAAACAGAATGCCACGTCTTTCTTCTGGAGTGCCTTTGAATGGGTTCAGATCACCAAGCGTTCGGTTAGGAGAAAAGCCAAAAAAACCAAACCCACTGCCGTCGAGTCGGATCCGACTCATAGCGACCCCTCCTTGGGTTTCTGAGGCAGTATCACTACAGAAGTAGATTACCCAGTCCTCCTTCCAAGGAGTGGCTGGTGGGTTTGAACCACCAGCCTTCTGGTTAGCAGTCAAATGCCTTAGGCACTATGCCACCAGAGCTCCTTCAGTTAGTAGCTGAGTGTGTAATTGTTTACACCACCCAGGGACTCAGGTAACCTTAATCATTTATTGCACATGAGTGTCCTACTTGAGGATAAAGAGTGCAGGTGTGGGTATCAGAAGTCACCCAACTTAGGTCAGCCTCCATCTCTTCCTGTCCATTTCATTTTCAGCTTTGAATTCTCAAATCTAGGTTAGAATCTGTGATAACATTTAATTGCTCTTTGGCTTCAAAAAATTTACTTAACTTTATAGAGCTTCTGTTTCTTCAACTTCAAACTGGAAACGATAATACCTACCTCCTTGGGTTGCTGTGAATATTGAGAAAGATGTTGTTTTTCTCCTTTTCATCACATATAAGCCTTTCCAGGCTCTTTTTATTTGTACTGTCCTTCCATGAATTTTCCCCCTCCAAAAATAAATCATGCCTCTTTTGCCTTTGATAGCAAAAATACTTAGTTATACTACGTATCCTGGTACATTGTAATTGCTTTGCTGATACACCATCTATCTGTCCTGTTGTTGTTTTTGTTGTTAGGTGTCATTGAATGACACCTAACTTAGTGACCTTATGGACAACAGATGGAAACACTGCCTGGTCCTGTCCCATCCTCATAATCGCTGCTATGTCTGAGCCCATTACTGCAACCCCTGTGTCAATCCATCTTGTTGAGAGTCTTCCTCTTATTTGCTGACCCTCTACTTTACCAAGCATGATGTCCTTCTCCAGGGACTGGTCCCTCCTGAGAACATGTCCCAAGTATGTGAGATGAAATCTTGCCATTGTCACTTCTAAGGAGAATTCTGGCTGTATTTCTCCTGACACAGATTTGTTCATTCTTCTGGAAGTGCATGGTATATTCAGTGTTCTTTGTGAATACGATAATTCAAAGTCTTCCTTATTCTTCTTTGGTCTTCCTTATTCATTGACCAGCTTTCTCATGCTTGTGAGTGGTTGAAAATACCATGGATTGGGCCAGATTCATCTTAGTCCTCAAAGTGACATCTTTGCTTTTTAACACATTAATTAATTCTTTTGCAGAATATTTACCCAATGCAGTATGTTATTTGATTTCATAACTGTTGCTTCCATGGCCTTGACTGTGGATCCAAGTAAAATAAAACCCTTGACAACTTCAATACTTTCTCCATTTATCATGATATTGTTTATTGGTCTAGTTGTGAGGATTTTTGTTTTCTTTATGTTGAGGTGCAATCCATACCAAAGGCTGGAGTCTTTGATCTTCATCAGTAAGTGCTTCAACCTCTTCAGTATTAGCAAAGTTGTGTCATCTGCATGTTATTTCTTAAAAAAAAAAAAAAAAGTTAATGAATCTTCCTCCAATCCTGATACTGTGTTCTTTTTCATATGGTCCAGCTTCTTGGATTATTTGCTCAGCTTATAGATTGAATAAGTATAGTGGAAAGGTACAACCCTGACACACATCCTGATTTTAAATAGTGCAGTATTCCCTTGTTCTGTTTAAATGACAACCTATTGGTCTATGTACAGGTTCCACATAAGCACAATTAAGTGTTCAGAATTCCCATTCTTTGCAATGTTATACATAATGTGTTATGATCCACATAATAGAATGACATTACATAGTCAATAAAACACAGATAAACATCTTTCTGGTATCATCTGCTTACAGACAAGGTCTATCTGACATCAGTAATGATATCCATCATCATACATCCTCTTCTCATCTGGCTGGAATATCTGGCATGCCCTGTTAATTTATTGCTGCAACTGTTTTTGAATTATCATCAGCAAAATTTTACTTGCATGTGAAATTAATGATACCATTTGTTAATTTCTGCATTCTGTTGAATCACCTTTCTTTGGAATGTGCATATATATAGATATCTTCCAGTTGATTGATTAGGTAGCTGTCATCCAAATTTCTTGGCATAAATGAATGAGCACTTCCACTATTGCATCAAACATTTGAAACATCTCAATTGGTATCCCATCAACTCCTGGAGCCTTATTTTATTTTATTTTATTTTACCAATGCCTTCAATGCAACTTGGATTTTTTCCTTCAGTACCATTGGTTCTTGTTCATATGCTACTTCCTGAAATGGTTGAGCCACCACTGTCTGTCAGTTTGTCCTACTGTGGTGGCTTGTGTATTGCTGTGATGCTGGAGGCTATGCCACTGGTATTTCAAATACCAGCAGAGTCACTCATTGGGGACAGATCTCAGTGGAGCTTCCAGACTAAGACAGATTAGGAAGAAAGACCTGGCAATCTACTTCTTTTAAAAAAAGAAAAAACTGGCTAGTCAAAATCTTATTATTAGCAGCAGAATATTGTTTGATTTAGTGCCAGAAAATGAGCTGAAAATATAATAGGAA